GAGTAGGACAAGAAAAGAGCTGGTTGCTGGTATTAAGAGGGCCAAAGCCACATATGCACAGAGGATCGAGGGTCAATTCATCTCACAAGACCCTCGGAGCATGTGGAGGGGCATTAAGTGCATAACAGATTATAAAGGAAGGAGTGAACAATGCCCCAAAGACCCATCTCTGCCTGATGCCCTCAACCAGTTCTATGCACGCTTTGAAGACCCGAACAGACCACCCAGCACCAGACTCACCTCACCACCGGATGAAGAGCATCTCAGCGTGACCTCAGCAGAAGTAAGGAGTACCTTCAGGAGGATTCATCCGCACAAAGCAACTGGCCCAGACAACATCCCTGTAAAAGTGTTGAAGGAATGTGCTGATCAGCTCTGCGAGGTGCTGGCAGCCATCTTTAACACCTCACTTGCCCTGGAGACAGTTCCCACCTGCCTGAAGACTGCCACCGCCATCCCAGTCCCAAAAAGCTCTACAGTGACTGGTCTGAATGACTATCGGCCAGTGGCCCTCACCCCGATAGTCGCTAAATGCTTCGAAAAACTGGTCATGACTCACATCAAAACAACCATCAACATCAACGAGGACCCTCATCAGTATGCATACCGTGAGAACCAATCAACAGAGGATGCCATCTCCTCTGTGGTCCACACTGCGCTCAACCACCTGGAGCAGAAAAACTCTTATGTCCGTATGCTCTTTGTGGACTTCACATCCGCCTTCAACTCTATGATCCCCCAAACCCTGATGGACAAACTATCCACACTAGGACTAAGCCCCTCCATTTGCAACTGGGTCCTAGATTTCTTAACAAACAGACCACAGTTAGTGAGGATCCACAACTACTTCTCCACCATAACCCTCAGCACTGGCTCTCCTCAGAGATGTGTGTTGAGCCCCCTCCTGTTTACTCTGCTCACGTATGATTGTGCATCTACCCATCCAGGCTGTCACATTGTAAAGTTTGCAGATGATACAGCGGTGGTGGGATGTATCACAAACTATGATGAGTCCAGCTACAGGCAAGAGTTGGAACACCTGGAGAGCTGGTGCAAAGAGAATAACCTTCACATCAGTGTGAAGAAGACAAAGGAGATGATTGTGGACTTCAGAAGGAACAAAAACATCTACACCCCCCTGAACATAAGAGGATCTGCGGTGGAAGTGGTCTCCAGCTACAAGTACTTGGGTGTACACATGAATGACAACCTCAACTGGAGCAACAACACCACCAGCCTGATCAAGAAAGCTCATCAGAGACTCTACTTCCTCAGGCGGCTGAGACGAGCTGGTCTGGGAAGCTCAGTCCTCACCTCCTTCTACAGGTGTGCAGTGGAGAGCATCCCGTGCTCCAGCATCAACGTGTGGCATGGAGGCTGTACAGCTGCAGAAAGAAAAGCTTTGCAGAGAGTGGTGAAGGCTGCACAGAAGTCTCTTGGAATCAGCCTCCCCACCATCACAGACATCTACACCTCTAGATGCAGGAAGAGAGCCACCTGCATCATGAAGGACCCCACTCACCCAGCACACTCACTTTTTGCCCCACTCCCCTCAGGAAGGAGGTTGAGGAGCATTAAGCGTAGAACCACTAGACTGAGGAACAGCTTCTACCCTGAGGCTGTTAGACTCATGAATCTCTAACTAGAATAATCACTGTGAAAAACCACATCATGTTGCTGCTGATCTGTTTAAATATTGATATGTTCATGCGTGCACATCCGCTCACACAGACTCATGTTCATGTTTGTACTGATGTTCAATGTTTTTATGTCATGAGTGCTTAGTGTATATTTAATTGATGTTTTTCTTAGTTCATATCTTAGATGTTATTACTGTTTTTCTTATACATTTTATTGTTGGATGTAACTGGGACCCCGTGTACATAATTTTGCTCCAACACATGTACCACATGAGGTGCGAATGACAATAAAGAATCTCTGACTCTCTCTGACTCTGAATTTGTATTATGCCAGATGCCCTTCCTGACACAATCTATGGAGCGGACAACCTGCTGGTGAGATTGATCAGGTGGCAGGGAAAGATGCCAGACAGCCCTGGTAGACCTAAATGCGTAATTAGGCTTGCTGCACATGTCTGGCAGAGAAACTCATCTGAAAGATCTTCAAGTCCCACCTCCACAGAGCATCATCTGCATCCCAGCAGACATGGGGACATTGAGTCTGAGTAGGCTATTTCTTGCACATCCATTGCTGAGGCGACTGCCCTGTCCTGGCTGGTGCTGAGGTAACGGTTCTGGTGTGGGAGGAGTTTGGTGAGACCTTGGTGAGAGTCTTGATCAGCTCCAAGAAGATTCTGACAAATTGTCATGTAGCCGAGATGAGGAAGTGCACTTTACTAGTTTAGTTTTGTTCAATTGTTTCATGCTGTATGCCCTTCCTGATGCAACCTGGGCTGGAACCCACAATCTCAGGATTACAAGACCACGCCACAAACCATCAACTTACTGCAGCTCCTGAAAGCTGCACTTTACTAACACTGTGTGTAGTGGAAGTGTGGTGTTGTTGACATCAACCAGTGATGTTATTGGGCGGTGGAAAAAATACTTCAAGAACCTTTTTAATCTTACTGGTACATCTCTGATGGAGGATGCTGAGTCTGGAGATTTTGGGGTCGGCCTGCCAATTAACAGGGTTGTGGTCCTCAAGGTAGTTAGAAAGCTCCATAATGGAGCACCAGGGGCAGTGCCACTGAACTGGCTGTCTGGGTTGGTCTTATCAAAAAAGGGTGTGTGTTCCAAATAGAGGAAAATAACACTCTTCAACCTGATAGGGTCTGATTTGGTGGCCTCAGGGTTCTGTCTGCTATTGACAGATTTGTTGGTCTTTGGTCCTGTTGGCCTCACTGGGCCATGATTTCCAGCTCTCACTGGATCAGTATGCAGCAGCTGGACTGAAGATCAGCTCCTCAAAGTTGGAGGTCATGGTCCTCAGTTGGCAAAAGTTGGGCTGTCCTTTCCAGGTTGGGTGTGAGGTGCTCCCTCAGGTGGAGGAGATAAGTATCTTGTATATTTGTTTACAAGTGAAAGATGAATAGGGTGTGAAATCAAGAGATGGACTGGTGCAGCTTCCACAGAGTCATGATGTACAGGACTGTTTAGGTGAGAACAGAGCTGAGCTGCAAAGAGAAACTGATTACTGGTCGATCTATGTTCCTCACCTTTGATCATAAATTTTGGGTAGTGACCAAAATGAGATTACAGAGATACACTGTTAAAATGAATTTTCTCAGCATGGTAGCTGGGCCCTCTTAAGGGGAGAAGTTCAGTTATTTATTTATCTACCAAGACTAGAGCTGGTGCACCTCCACATCAAGTGGCATCAGTTGAGAAGGTTTGAACATCTGGTAAGAATTCTTCCTAAATGTGTCCCTAAGGAGGTGTTCAGCACATGTTCATTTAGGAGGAGAACCTTGGAAAAACCCAAGACACAATGGAAAGATTACATCTCTTGGCTGACTTCAGAATGTCTTGGAATCCTCACAGAAGATCTGGAAGTGGTGCATGTGTAAAAAAAACATCTGGACCTCCCTTCTCAAACTGCAGCCCCCTCGCCTAGTCTCTGGAACAAGTGGCAGATAATGGATGGATAACGCGTACATAAGCATCCACAACCTTTACCATGGCACTCTAACTTGAGTTTAGGTATACCCTGTTCCCACTGATCATTTGTCAGATGTTTTTACAGCTTGATTAGAGTGCACCTGTGGTAAATTCAGTAGACTGGACACGATTTGGAAAGGCACACACTTGTTAATGTAAGGTCCCTAATCCTGGCCCATATCTGGTGCATGTCAAAACACAAAACAAGACATGAAGTCCAAGAAACTATCTTTTACATCTAAAAACAGGTTTGTATCAAGGCATAGGGGAAAGTTCTCGAAAAATCCCTGCAGCATCAAAGGTCCTAATGAGCAGCCTACATAATCCATAAATAGAAGAAGCTTGGAATCACCAGATTTATTGCTGAAGCTGGTTACGCAGACATTTGAGTGATCATGGTAGAAGGGTTCTAGTCAGGGAGGTGACCAAAAACCAAGTGGTTACTGTGACAGACTTCCAGGTCTGTGGAGAGGGGAGAACCTTCCAGAAAGACAACTATTTCTATAGCACTTCACCAACCAAGCCTGATTGGTAGACCAACCAATGAGAGCTGCTCCTCAGTTAAAGGTCTTTGAAGGGTTCTCATACTAGGATAAACAAGATTATATCATCTGAGGAAACAAAGATTGAACTCTTAGACCTAACAAGCACCACATCTGGAAGACACCAAGCACCGCTCATCACCTGACCAATATCATCCTTACAGTGAAGGATGGTGGTGGAGGCACCATTCTGTGGAGATCAATTTTATCACCAAGAAACTGGAGACTAGTCAGGGTGGAGGAAGAAAATAATGAAATTAATTAATTTTGGAATAAGGCTGGAATATAACTCAATAGAAGTCCAGGTTCATTTTTTGTTACTTTTATAAATTTTTTTTATTGGATTTGGCTGGAGCATGACGAACAGAGGACAAAGTGAAGCGTTGTGAATCCTTTCAGGACTTACTGTACATCATGTTGATAAAACCTTATGACCAGATCCAACTAGGTGGAGATGATGTCCCTGGAGTTCTTGTAAACGTGTTGAGTATAGATTTTTTTACCCACGCTATCATATTACACAAATGTTTGATGAGTCGATGGTAGAAAAAGAACTAAAATTTATTTTGTGTAGACATTTTATTGTAAGAACTAAACCTTCTCAGCTTTGGTATTGTGCATTTCTTTTGGTAAACTTCACTTAAACTTAACAAGAAGGAAGTAAAAGACATGAAAGTATTTTAAGATTAAACACACTGATGTATCAAATCATAAATACTTAAACAATATAATTTTTTTTTTTTAAGTCAGTGGTTCCCAACCCTGGTCCCTGAGGAACACCATCCTGCATGTTTTAGCTGTTTCCCTGCTTTGACATACCTGATTTGAATGATTTGGTGATTGACAGGCTTCGGCAGAACTTGAGGAAGTAATTAAATCACTGAATCAGCCGTGTTGAAGTAGGGAAACAGATTAAACATGCAGGGTGGTGTTCCTCAGGGACCAGGGTTGGGAACCATTGACTTAAACAATCTGATTTTATTTTTGCTTTTTAAGCATTTACACACTGATGTATTAAATCTTATCTGGTTTAAATAATGTGTTTAAGTAGAAATTTCTTTTTTTTTTCATGTAGTTTCACAAAATGTTTTATGTACAGTATATATTACAAAAGTTTCCTTGTTTTTAAAATTGTGTCTTAACAATTGTAGAATAATTAAAATAGTAATACCCAGTTGCTGTGAGTGGATGGTAAATAATTAAATTGCTAAAACATTTTTGTTAACAGCAACAAAAAAAAATCTACCCATGTCTTAGAATCGACATGCTTCTAAAACCATTTTTCATGAATTTATTAAAGAAAAACGCAGTCATTTTGATATTCTAAGATGCAGAGACAAAGCCACACACTGAGACTTGTAGCTGTCAGAGTTAGATTTTTTTAAAGGTTTGGACCAACACTGATCTTTTTTTTTAATTAGATGAAATTAATTAACACATTTTCTCACATTGTTTGATTCCTCATCAGATTTCATGGTCTCAGCGATGTACTTCACTCCCTCGATTGCGCTGCGAACATCAGGATTTTTCATGATGGGAGACTTGTAGGTGACACTGGTGGGGGTGGGGTTACCTGTAGAGTAAAAGAAAAGGTGTATGTCGCCACAGTGAGGAGGAATTTCGGATGCTGTGACTTCCTGTTGTTAGAAAACAGCTTGGCGAGTTTCATGAATTTAATATCAAATTGGCAGCACGATAGCTCAGTGGTTAACACTGTTGCCTCACAGCAAGAAGCTCCTGGGTTCAATCCCCGGTTGGACCTGGGGCCTTTCTGTGTGGAGTTTGCATGTTTTTCTCGTGCTTGCGTGGGTTTTCTCCAGTTACTCTGGTTTCCTCCCACATACCAAAAACATGCATGTTAGATTGCCATCAGATTCAGGCCTCACATGCAAAAGAGATCTGTTATCTCAATGGGATTTTCCTGGTTAAATAAAGGTTAATAAATAAATATGTCAAACATAAAAATTCAGGTGATTTCCATTGCTATCATTTTGTCCATGTCTGTTTATGTGTGAGTTCTGCTAATGGAAATGGTTTAAACTGGTATCAGAATGTCCTCAGAACCTAAAAATATTTCACCTGGCTAACTTTCCAAATATCGTTTCTGTGGTTCCTCATTTGTGATTACAGAACATGTCCAAATTTTTATGTCAAAGTGGAGATATTTGTAAAACGTGACCTAGTATGTAAAAAAGGAATATTTTGTATGCTGTGTCCTGCCTGAGATGTCAGAGATGTCCATGTCTGTAGGGAACAGTCTCTTCTGTCGGATCTCCTGACTTGGACGCTTCATCGTCGAAAAGAACATCATGTTGGGAATAGTTTCTATGAAGACCTGGGAGGCAAAATGAAATGCATAGATCATGTCAATGTTCCTGAGAAAACTGCAGCAGAACAACAAGAAGAAATGTGGAACCTTTCGGATCCATGCTGGCATGGTGTGTGTGCTGGGCGAGCGGTGGTGTGTGTTGATGACGATGACCGTGATGATGATGGAGGCGATCACAAACACCATGGTGAAAAGCATGTATTTCCCTATGAGCGGAACAGCGCTGGATGTGGATGGGATGAGCTCCACGATAACCAGTAGGAAAACAGTCAGTGACAGCAGGACAGAGATGGACAGTGTCATCTTTTCACCTGGAGGCACAAACATCATGGAGGACGTTTTTCTAAACAACACAAACAACAATTTGCAAAACCACAAAAATACGTTATAAAGGAAAACAGCAACACTTTAAATACAGTAAATCAAATTAATCTTTAAGCAACGTCCTGATGCATGCTCAATGATCCAGGTAGATAAATCTAACAAGGTTGAGTCTAAGGTTAACCTTACCACTTCACCACTTGCTCTTGCCAAGGTCAGACACTTTTCCCCTCCCTCTCTGCTTTGCTTTGCTGCTCTGTCTGTCTGTGAAACTGCTTTTGAGCCTCTCTTACAAATCTTCTGAACCATAATTATGGACTTGTTTTGATCAGTTGGTCCCTCAACACAATTGAAAACATTTCTTCGAAGAGGAGACAGGCTTTAGGCGAGCCGATTTGCCCTGTTGGCACGCACACAGCTGGATATCTCATCGACTTGGAAGATTGATAGACACTGTCCATCTCTGTCCTGCTGTCACTGACTGTTTTCCTACTGGTTATCGTGGAGCTCATCCCATCCACTTGATGATGTGCCTATCTCTTTTGCCATTTGTGGATTTTAAGGACACATTTATAATTTGATTTATGATAACTGGTTCCTGCTTTTTGGATTCGGCTGGTCGCTGGTTTATCTATAAACAAGGAAGTCATCGGCAGCAAATTTGGACCCGATCATGCTGCTTGCCTTTATGATGGCTTGGTTCGTGCCTCGAGTACCCAGACTCAAATACTTTTGGCAGAATGGATCAGATTTTGGGGATTTTACTCAGGCACGTTCTTTTGGTGTGGCCACGTAATATGGACATTTTGGAACCGAGTGGACCAACACAGACTCAAGGTAGATGTCATTAAGTTCTGCCTGTCCCCAAAACAACTGTGTGTTTATCTGAATTTGGCTCCCCCGGCTGGCCTTGAAGGCCATTTTATCTGAATTAGCCTGGAGAATATGTAATCTGACGCTCTGCGTCCCCCCCCCCCCCCCCCCTTGAGGTATTTCCAACTGATAACTAAAGGAAACCAGCTGAACAAACATTGTGTCATCATTTCAGGACTCTTGGATTCCCATAGGTGTTGTCCTTGTCCATTCACCGACATCCCTCGAGAATGTTTACGGATCTCACCCGAGGGAACTGGTTGATTATTCCATCCTTATCAGAACTCTTACAGTGCCCTCAAGTGCATCCTTGGACATTGCTCACCGCTCTCATCATCTCTCCCCCTCTGCGGAAAGTCTACGTCACTATGTGCTTGTATGTGCGAGGTGGTTTTTTAATATTAGAGTTTTTCTTCTCACTCAAGAAGAAAAAGTTTAATAGGAATTTTTTTTCCTCCAATTCCTACGTATCCAGTTTCACTACTTTTTGTCTGTCTAAGCAGATCTCACTTGTAAATGAGTCTTCGAGGCTCAATGTGATTTATTTGTCTAAATAAAGGTTGAATGAAAAAACCTCTAACAAGGTTAACTTAACCTTATTAGAGATATCTTTTATTAATGTACTTTTTCAAAATGATGACGTGTTGGCCCCTTTAAGTTTCACTTTATTCTAAAAACTCTAGAACCCACCAGAGTCTACGTACCAGAATCAGTGGGAAGGTAGAAGACAAGTCCTGTAAGAAAGGAGAAGAGCATGCAGGGGATGATGACGTTGACAATAAAGTAAAGTGGCAGCCGAAGCATCAGGAAGTGGTAGGTGATGTCCAAATATGGAGTTTCAGGACAACAGGTGTAGAAAACCCAGTGTTTCCAGCTCCTGTAGTCCTTCAACACCCATTCACCAGATTCCATGAAATTACTCAGGTCAGGCCGGTCATTGTCCTAAAACACAGAAAGACCCCTAACCTCAGACATTTTGTCTTATTTGATAAAAACTAGTCTATAAAACACAAAAAAACTTCTTACTGGGTTGATGACAACCAGTGTACCATCATAAGTCCAGGTGCCCAGTTTCATGCTGCAGTTCTGCAGGTCAAACGGGAAATGGAGAACAATAATCTCACAGTAACTTTTATAGATGGCTGGAGGGTTCCATGTTATCATCCCGGTGTGTTCCAGCAGGACCTTAGTTTCATGGATGATGGCAAAATCACCATCGGCACTGGAAGAGAGGAAGAAAATTGTTTTCATGGAAAGAAGAGAGAAAGAGTACACTGTGTGATGAGGAGGAAGATGCTGTGTTTACTTGTTGTAGAGCACTAAGTCAGGTTTCCAGATGTCACTTGATGGGATTCTGATCTTTCTGATGCCTCCATAATCATCTGGATTCCACTTCAGGTTCACATCTAACCATTGCTGAGGAACATTTCAAGCATTGTTAGGTGAGTTGTTTTAATCAAGTCAAATTTTAATTAGAACAAAAATTAAAATTAGAACATGACCAGGTCAAAACAATGTCTTATTTTTTTCTGAATCTTAACAAATTATCTCTTTTTCTGCACAGCTTTTCTTGAAAAATAAATTAAAACCATTCAATATTTTTTTAAATGAATATTTTAGTGGATGATAATAACTATGTTTGGTTTGAAGTTCGTCTAACGATTTCCAAAAACATTTTGCTTTTCAAACTGAACAGAAGAATCTCTACTTGGCCTGAAAGTGCAGCCTCTAAAGTTTGGATGTGAAAACGAGCAGAAAATGGAATCACTAAAACCCGGTTTCTTGACAACCCATGGATAGATTAATGCTTCCTATTCTTGTGCCCAATACAGAACTTTAATTTTAAAGAGTATTCTGAATTTTTGTGGAAAGAAGGAAATAATGACCAGGATTCATGAATCTTTAATGTGCTAAAAGTATAATGTTTACTATTATATTCTGTGCTGTTAATATTATTTTTCCCAATAACTTTGCTTTTCAGAAGTGCCTTAACCATTATTGTCACCACTTCTGTTAATACCTTGTTTTGTACTGTAGGTCATTTAAACTTGAAACGAGAATACTTTCCTTTTAGTTTTTTTTAACCAAACCTCAGATTTGTGGGTAATAATGTGTCAAAATTGTCTTGCTCTGTTGTATTAGAGCCAGCCGTGTGGACTGGAGCATATTTAATCAAAACGCATGCTACTTTATGACTGCTTCCTGTTTTAGTCTCCAAAGACAGTCCACAATCATATGTGAGCAGATTGAATAGGAGAGGGCTCAGCACACATCCCTGAGGAGAGCCAGTGCTGAGGGTTACGGTGGAGGAGGAAAAGTTGTGGATCCTCACAAACTGTGGTCTGTTTGTTAAGAAGTCTAGGACACAGTTGCAAATAGAGGGGCTTAGTCCTAGTGTGAGTAGTTTGTCCGTCAGAGTTTGGAGGATCATGGTGTTAAAGGCAGATGTGAAGGCCACAAAGAGCATATGGACGTAGGAGTCCTTCTGCTCCAGGTGGGTGAGAGCAGTGTGGACCACAGAGGAGATGGCATCCTCTGTTGATCGGTTCTCGCGGTATGCATACTGATGATGGTCCTTGTTGATGTTGATGGTTGTTTTGATGTGGGTCATGACCAGTTTTTCGAAGTATTTAGTGACTATCGGGGTGAGAGCCACTGGCCGATAGTCATTTAGACCAGTCACTGTAGAGCTCGTTGGGACTGGGATGATGGTGGCAGTTTTCAGGTAGGTGGGAACTGTCTCCAGGGTAAGTGAGGTGTTAAAGATGTCGGCCAGCACCTCGCAGAGCTGATCGGCACATTCTTTCAACACTTTTCCAGGGATGTTGTGTGGGCCAGTTGCCTTGTGTGGATTAATCCTCCTGAAAGTACTCCTTACTTCTGCTGGGGCCATGCTGAGAAGCTCTTCATCCAGTGGTGAGGTGAGTCTGGTGCTGGGTGGTCTGTTCAGGTCTTCAAAGCGTGCATAGAACTTGTTGAGGGCATCAGGCAGAGATGGGTTTTTGGGGCATTGTTCGCTCCTTCCTTTATAATCTGTTATGTACTTAATGCCCCTCCACATGCTCCGTGGGTCTTGTGAGGTGAATTGACCCTCAATCATCTGTGCATATGTGGCCTTGGCCCTCTTAATACCCACCTTAATCCCACCTCCACCTTGAAGCTATCTGTCACTCAAAAAAGTTCAAGACAAAAATGATCGATGATTGAATTTACCATGGCCTGGATGTCTGAGAATCTTCACCAGCGTACCTGTCACTCCTACAGCACATCTCACTACTGTCCTCATACATGTCCTGTACCAGTCTAACATACTTCTCTACCACTCCAGATTACCTCATACAATACTACACCTCCTCCCTCGGCACCGTCATATGTTTTTTCTCAATCCTCAAAGACACAGTGGAGTTCATTCTGACTCTGTACTTCTCCATCAGAATCCTCAAAGCAAAGTTGGCATCTGTGGTGCTCTGTCTTGGCATGAAACCATACTGCTGCTCACAAATAGTCATCTCTCAACTAAGTCTAGCTTCCAAAACTCTCTCCCAGATCTTCATTGTGTGACTCATCAATATAATTCTTATGTAGTTGTTACAACTCTGTACATCAGTCTTGTTTTAAAAATGTGCGCCAGCACACTTTTCTATTCGTCAGTCATATTTCCATGCTGAAAAATGTAATTTAACAACTGAGCAAAGTTTTCCAAACTTCACCCTCACTAATCTTTCTCACTTCCTGGTCCACAATTTCTATGACCTCTACTTTTATTTCTCTTTCATTCTCTTCATTTATTAGATCCTCAAAGTATTCCTTCCATTGTCCCATCTCCTAGAATGTTAGGCTTGTTAAAAAAAGAAATGGTAATGTTCTAACTTGCTGCACATCTTTTCCAGTATGATCCTTTTGTCTCACCAGTTGATGCAAATCCTTCTCTTCTTTCTGTGTTCAGTCTCTTGTTCAACTCGTCATTCACCTTTTGTTTTGTCTTTGCTACTTTTTGTTTTGCTTTATGTTGCATCTCCTTATAGTCGTGTCTCCTCTTTCATTTCGGAAGGCACAATCCCCCCCCCCCCCCCCCCCCACCCCCCCGTAGGAGAATCTGCAGTGGAAGTGGTCTCCAGCTACAAGTACTTGTGTGCACTTGAATGACAACCTCAGCTGGGGCAACAACACCACCAGCCTGATCAAGAAAGCTCATCAGAGACTCTACTTCCTCAGGCGGCTGAGACGAGCGGATCTGGGAAGCTCAGTCCTCACCTCCTTCTACAGGTGTGCAGTGGAGAGCATCCTGTGCTCCAGCATCAACGTGTGGCATGGAGGCTGCACAGCTGCAGAAAGAAAAGCTTTGCAGAGAGTGGTGAAGGCTGCACAGAAGTCTGTTGGAGTCAGTCTCCCCACCGTCACAGACATCTACACCTCCAGATGCAGGATGCATCATGAAGGACCCCACTCACCCAGCACACACACTTTTTGGCCCGCTCCACTCAGGCAGAAAGTTGCGGAGCATTAAGTGTAGAACCAATAGACTGAGGAACAGCCTCTACCCTGAAGCTGCTAGACTCATGAATCCCTAACCAGAAAAATCACTTAGAAAAAAGAAGAAAAGAAAAATCATTGTAATGTCACTGTAACTGGTGGCATGTGACTTATCTGTGCTGCTGATTATCCATGCTGCTGATCTCATGCTGCTGACTATCTCATGTTGCTATATTCATACCCATCTGCTCACTATAGACTTATGTTCGGGCTGCTGTTTAATATACCGTATTATTTTACATTATTAGTGTTTAGCATATGTATCTTAGATATTTTAGCATATTGTTTAACGTACTGTATATCTTAGATCCTCATATAATGTTTTTTTGTATGTTTTATTTTTGCTATTTTTGGGTGTAACTGGGACCTTGAATACACAATTTCTTTCCACCTCATGTACCACATGTGATGCGAATGACAATAAAGAACTTGAAGTTGAACTTGAACTCTCTTCAGTCCTCTGGATAACTTCTTGTACTTCAACATTCTACCACCAGGTTTCCTTAGCATAACTTATCTGCCCAGACAAAACTCCAAGTACCTTCTTACCTGTCGCTCTAATCACTGTTGCTGTAGTGACCTTTTAACAGCTCCTCTTGGAACTCCTCACAACATTCTTCTTTTTTCGACGTCCACCATTGGTATTCTTCATCATCTTTGCTCTTTTCCTCTTCCTCATCACATCTACACACCACCATTTGATGCTGTCTGACTATGTTCTACCCTGACACAACCTTACAGTCTCCAGTCTCCTTCAGGTTTCCTCTTTTACACAGAATGTAGACTACCTGCCTGCACAGGCTTTTACTCTTACAGGCTCCCCTATGTTCCTAACTTTTTTTTTTAAATAAGTGTTGACTACAGCCCTTTCTATTCTCCTGGCAAAATCCAACACCATCTGCCCTTCCTGGTATAATTCCTTTACACTAAACCTACCCATCACTTCCTTATCCCCTCTGTTTCCTTTACCAACATGTCCATTCAGGTCTGCTCCAATCACCACTTCACCTACACTACCACTACACATTCCCACTACCTCACTGGGAATACTCTCTATCACCTCATCCAGATCCTTCCAAAATGTATCTTTCTCCTCCACATCACATCCAACCTGTGGAGCATAATCACTGACAACATCCAGCATCAGACTTTCTACTTTCCGAAACATCCCCCTATACTCTTTTCACCTCTACTTTGATTTTTGCAAATTCCTCCTTCAGGACCAGCCCTACTCCATTTCTCGTTCTATCCACACCATGGTAAAACGGCATAAACCCTGCTCCAATGCTGCGAGCCCTGCTGCCCTTCCAACTTGTCTCTTGGACGCATAAAGCATCTACCTTTCTTCTCTGCATCATGTCAGCCAGCTCTCTATTTTTACCTGTCATTATCCCTCTGATTAGGGTTTCTATCCTCAGTCCTACATTCTTGACATTCCTCTTCTCTCTCTCTATCTCCTGACACAGTTCCCTTCTTGTGGTCTTCAACTAACAGTAGCACAATTTCCACTGGTATCCTGTTTGTCAACAGCATTGGTGGAGGTCATTGTTAACCCAGACCTTGACCGATCTGTTATGGTGGTGTTTCAATGAACTTGCATGCTAGTTTTGGTGGAAGTGTTTTACGTCACATGCCCTTCTTGACACAACTCACCATTTACCCTGGCTTGGAACCAGCACAAGAGATACACTGGCTTGTGCTCCATAGTGGCTGGTTTCCCTTTTATGGTTTAACCAGAGTTACAGGAAATTTAATTCATAGTTTGGTGAATGTCAGTTTTGTGATCTGCTAATTTGATTATCTTTTTGTTGTGAAGTGTAATTGAACTTGTTAATTTATATCTCGTCCCCATTAGCTGTTAATAGTTGTATTTGTAAAACAAAAAAATAATAAATCATTGTTGTATTCAGTTTCTCTTTGACGTCAGAGCTTAAACCTGAGCTAAACTTAACTCCCTTATGTTCATATTAATGATTTGTTTGCTGCTTGTTTTGTTCTAAAGTCTTTTAAACAGATACAAAGCATTTAAATATACTAGAAACACTACATTTAGTGGTAATTATACTAAAGAAAATGTTTATGGTTGTATAAACAAAAACAATGTTAAATAAAGGTAATTTCTTATTGCTATTAAAATGTTTTTTTGGTTTGTTTGTTTTTTATACATTTACCTGTCTGAGACGGACATTACTGGTCACAATTTGGTTAACTTCATCCTGAGAAATGAAATAAACAAAAGGAAAACAAATTAATATCATTAATTTCATTACGATCATTACGATCAATGTGATGTTAAACATGTTGAATATCACAGTTTTAATCCCTTCATGAGTTTCATGAGGCAAAAGATGGGCAATAAAGTGTATGTGTGTTAGCAAAATATCTCATGAACCACTGAATGTATATTAATAAAACTTGTAAAAAAAACGACCAAAAAACAAGCAGTCCATCCATCCATTATTTTTTTACCCTCTTCTTCCTTTTTAGGTAACGGGGGTCACTGGTGACAATATCCAGCAATCACAGTGTGAAAGGCGGGGGACACCCTGGACAGGTCTTCAGTCCATCACAGGGACACATAGAGACAAACGAGACAAACAACCATTCACTCTCTCACTCACACCTAGGGACAATTTAGAGTTACCAATCAGCCTAACATGCATGTTTTTGGTCTGTGGGAGAAAACCGGAGTAATTTTAAGTTCAAGTTCAAAGTTGTGTTTATTTGTCATATGCAGATTAACACAGGGTCAACAGTACAATGAAAGGTTCAGGATGAGAAGAACCAATTTGACTCGCTAAAAACAAAGAACAAACAAACAAGAAAATACTAAAGCATGCAATAAGCGTACAAAAATAAAGTACCAAAAAGTGCAAAAGTAAAATATATTTACAAGGTCCTAAAGAGAAATAGTAAACAACAAAATGGTAGAATATAATTGTGCAAGCAGGATGAATTTGTATGAATAAGTATTTCAAGGTAGTAATATAAGCTAAAATGTACATGATACATTATATGCTGTAAATAACAAACTGCACAGGTTGTGACAGGTTATTGCACAGGTAGTGAGTGACATTGAGATGAATTATGATGGTAAGGTAGATACATAGTGACATACATGATACAGTCACATAGTGCAGCAGCAATGAACATTTTAGGAGTACCTGGAGAAAACCCAAGCATGCATGGGGAGACCATACAAACGCCACCACGCCACTCAAAACAAACAGTCATTTGACTGTATTTTTTAAGTCAAACGGCTATAAAAGTCATTAAAGTAATTTGCTAATGCAAAAATAAAACTTTAAGCAAGTAATCAATGAATCCATATATCCATTGAATCCAACTTATTTATTTAAATAAAATCATTTTATCACACACCAACAAAGGTGATATTATGATAATGTTTTTCTCCGTGTCTTATTGTTTGTATTGTCAGCAAAATATCTCATAAAACCCTGAATGTTTGATGTTTACAATTAACTTTTGGAGACAACCTAATTCAAGATGGCTGCCAGAGCCAATCGGTCCTAGCCAACCAAAAAAAAAGCCAATTTTACAGACAGTGAGCTAAAATGTATTGTGGTAGTAGCTGAGAGTCATTCACAACACGTACCAATGAGAGTGTGGATAATGTTATTTTCAAGGTTTGACCAAAAGAGCTCAGCAGAACAAGCGTGTCCTCACCACACTGATGAGCTGGATCAGCTGCAGTCCCACAGTGACCACCACAGCATCACTGAAGTGATTAACAGGACGAACCACTTTGTTGTAACCTGTGAACAGGGTTTTCACCAGCCGGGTCTCATCCTCTGAACACAGGACCGGACCTGGAGCCAGAACACAACACAGCGCATTTATTAGAGTTTTTCTTGTTTTTATGAGACACTCTGGGTTCAGTCAAAGCAGATAGTTGAAAATCAGAAGAGAGGTTATGCTGCTGGTCGTACTGGTAGTGGTGCTAGTGATGGTGGTCCTACTGGTAGTGATCATCTTGTTGGTGGTCCTAGTGATGGTGGTCCTACTGGTCATGACCCTACTTATGGTGGTCCTACTGATGATGATCCCACTGGTCATGAGCCTACTGATAATAGTCTGACTTCTGATGATCCTACTGGTGGTGGTCCTACTGGTGGTTGTCCTACTGATAGTGGTCCTACGGGTAATGGTCCAAGTGGGGATAGTCTTGGTGTGGATGATTTTTTTAAATGTTTTTTTTTTTTTGCTGAGTTTTGGTAACCGTACATTCTGTGTGTCACAGTAGGCCACTGATCTGATGTTCCTCAAATGTTTTCAGAGTGGAACTAAAATTGGAGCTTTTAAAACAGTACTTGGTTGTTTTTCTACACAACAAACATTCTTTTCTGGTTTTTAAAACCAGAAATCTGAATCTCTCTTCAAAGATCAGATGGACAGAATTACACTCTTAAATAAGAGAAAAGATTTGAGGGACGGGGGGAAATATCTGACGAAAAGCCAAGGACACTTTCTGGTGGTCAACAGAAGTATGAGGTTACAGATAAGTGTAAAGCCTGAATGTGCTGCAGTCTCATCTGTCTCTGTAAGTCCCTGTAAACACGGTCTCTGTTTGGTAAAACCAGTCCAAACCAGTCTACTAAACATTGATCTGATGCAGTTTGAAACAGAAACACTGCACTCCTCTTCATGTTAGTTTGTACAGTACACCTTTCAGCTGAATTAATCTCAAACTCATATTTTATTCTGTTGTTGAATTGTTCACTAATAAGAAAATATGAAAGAACAAACAAAATAATATTGAACAATGATTCTCACTCAGGTGTTTTTAAGTTATTTTTAGGATTTTGTCTAAACATTGGCTGACACTGTCAGTAAAATGACACATGGACTGAAGCCAGACAGCATCCCCACTTCCTGTATAAGCTAAGGAGCTTTAATTCAAGCAAAATTACTTTACAGATGGTGTACAGGTCACTGGTAGAAAGTGTTGTTTCATTTAATATTGTCTCATGGTATGGGAAACTTCTAGCCAGAGACAGGAACAAGTTGTCCCGGGTGGTCAAACTAGTTAGTAAATTCGTTGGTCATCAACAAATGAAACTTACAGACCTGTACAGTCAGGTTCTGAAAAAAAAGGCAACCCAGGTTTACAATGACCCAACTCATCCACTGCAGCCAAGCTGGTACCATCTGGCAGAAGACTGGTGGTTCCTCTTGCAAAGAAAAATGGGTTCACAAGTAATTTGTTCCCTCTGTGTTGAATGTACTAAACAGGATCCTATTGAAACACAGCCTTACATGATTTTAACCTTTATTTAACCAGGCAAACCCCATTGAGATCACAGAGCTTTTGTACAAGGGAGGCCTGGGCCTGAAGGCAGCCTAACATGCATGTTTTTGATCTGTGGGAGGAAACCAGAGTACCCAGAGAAAACCCACGCAAGCATGAGAAGAACATGCAAACTCCACACAGAAAGACCCCAGGTCTAACCGGGGATTAAACCCAGTACCTTTTTGCTGTGAGGCAACAGTGCAAACCACTGAGCCATCGTGCTGCCATAAACCATGATACACCATTGTCTGCTGGGTTGTCTCCATATTTTTAATGTATCGTGCATTTTAGAATGTTTTTAATTGGGTTAGCAAAGATTTTTTTAAAAGTTTTATGACATTTTTTAGTTGTCTTGTTTTTTTATGAGCCAGACAAATCTCCATGTCATTGAATGTTATGGACAATAAAGTTATATTGAATTGAACTGAAAATGTATGACAAACTGGTTCATGGAGAGATAACACTAAATGGAACACATTGTTTGATTATCACTGAGAAAAAAAATTAAATGTAATGCCACTTTGATTGGTGATATGTGCTGCTGATTATCGATGCTGCTGATCGCATGCTGCTGATTATTTCATGCTGCTATAATCATTTGTCCTCATCTACTCACACAGACTCATGTTCATGCTGCTGTTGTTTGGCGTATTGTTTTGCACTATTAGTGCTTAGCATATTTCTTAGTTTATATTGTAGATCCTTATTTTCTGCTTCTTTTATACTTTATATTTTTGCTGTTTTTGGATGTAACTGAGTCAGAGAGTCAGAGTTTCTTTATTGTCATTCGCACCTCATGTGGTACATGTGGTGGAGCGAAATTATGTACACAGGGTCCCAGTTACATCCAACAATAAAATGTATAAGAAAAACAGTAATAACATCTAAGATATGAACTAAGAAAAACATCAACTAAATATACACTAAGCACTCATAACATAAAACATTGAACATCACCACAAACATGAACATGAGTCTGTGAGCAGATGTGCACGCATGAACACATCAACATTGAAACAGATCAGCAGCAACATGAAACAGATCAGCAGCAACATGATATGGTTTTTCACAGTGATTATTCTAGTTAGAGATTCATGAGTCTAACAGCCTCAGGGTAGAAGCTGTTCCTCAGTCTAGTGGTTCTACACTTAATGCTCCTTAACCTCCTTCCTGAGGGGAGTGGGGCAAAAAGTGTGTGTGCTGGGTGGGTGGGGTCCTTCATGATGCAGGTGGCCCTCTTCCTGCATCTGGAGGTGTAGATGTCTGTGATGGTGGGGAGACTGACTCCAACAGATTTCTGTGCAGCCTTCACCACTCTCTGCAAAGCTTTTCTTTCTGCAGCTGTGCAGCCTCCATGCCACACATTGATGCTCGAGCACAGGATGCTCTCCACTGCACACCTGTAGAAGGAGGTGAGGACTGAGCTTCCCAGACCAGCTCGCCTCAGCCGTCTGAGGAAGTAGAGTCTCTGATGAGCTTTCTTGATCAGGCTGGTGGTGTTGTTGCTCCAGCTGAGGTTGTCATTCATGTGTACACCCAAGTACTTGTAGCTGGAGACCACTTCCACCGCAGATCCTCTTATGTTCAGGGGGGTGTAGGTGGGACCCCGTGTACACAATTTCATTCCACCTCATGCACCACATGTGATGAGAATGACAATAAAACTTATTTGAACTTGAACTTATTACAAGTGTGCATGAGGGAGATCAGAAAAGATAAAAAAAAGATGAAATCTGCTAAACTGCGTGAAGAGTGAACATTGTTCAGTTATTAAACATTATTTTAGTCATCTTGTACAAGATGCAGCATGTGTTACTCATCATATCGTGTCGATACTTTACAGCATCTAGATCAGCTAATATGTTTAAAGCTGGCAGGGATGCTGGAATTTCACATTAAATTTGTTACAACTACATGAACCAAATAAATGGTTAATTTCCCGTTCACTCCAGAACAAAGTTAGATTTGGAGAGTACATTTCCTACAGGGCGGCTCGTAGGGCCCTCCTGATAGCATCACCACGCTTTGGTCCAAACGTGTTTTATTTTGTCCTTTTTTTCAACAAATGCTCTTCTCTGAGCACAACATTTGGGCTTCCTCTTTCCACAAATCAGCCGTTTAAGTGTCTTTATATTCCTTTAACCTTCTAAGACCGGAACTCTTGCATATGTGGATGCCAGGTCCTAGGAGGTTAAAGACGTTATAGAGATTTTCATACTGCAGCACTTCTTGTGTCAGCTGGTCCTCAAAACTATCCATTGTATGAAGCTGCCCCCCTGCCACCTCCAAATAAATAAAAAAAACCCAAGAAGATAGGAATGTAAGCATTTTTGCTTAAAATCCACGAGGCCATTTCCACCTTCTAACAGATTCATCCTAATGTAGCCAGCAGGCGAGCTGCTTTGGTTACATGTTTCAAAGTGTGAATGGTTGTGAAACTGCCTGGACAGACGAGTCAAAGACAAAAACATTAGATGTTAGAAAGTTGGAACCTGAGGCCATCTCCTTAATTTAATGATGTTTATTCACGTTTACCATAGTTATCTTCTTTCATTCTTTCAAACCACCTGTCCTCTGTTTTAAATCTACATATTACTTTTGTCAGGGGTGTCCCTTTTCCTCGAGGTGTAAATGAACTGCTGAGTATTGACCTGACAAGCTGCTCCTCAGTGTTAAGCCTTCCTTTTGTGCAGCTGCTATTCTGTTGCTCCAATATGGAGGTCTAAACTGTCCCCACTACCCTTGTCTGCATATGTTTTGTGTTTACGTGTGTAATCCTTTGGGTGAGACAGTCTCTATTTAAGAGTATTTTCAGGTTTGAAATGCACCAGAAAAATATACTTGGAAAAAAAAAATCCTTCAGTTTTTCAGTCACTAAACTCTTATTTTTTTAAACTATGCATTGTTCTTTTATTTTTATTTTTTTAGTCGAATGTGTTGAATGTTTTCAAAAAAACAGATATTGGTTTGTGTATAGGATTCCATTAGACTTCAGTGTTGAGGTTTCCATCATTCTCTATGTATAACAAACAGTCCAAGAAAAGTAATTTGTGTTTGGCATCCTCAACTTGATGTTGCTGTCCGCTGAACTAATGTGTTCAATAAAAGTTTCCACTTCCTTAGTTTGTATTTTGATCTAGGCAATTTTAATTTTATACCTTTTTTTCACAATCATGTGTTTAAATCAGACTATTTCATCACACATTTTTGTCCAGTTTGGTGTACGTCTCTTTCTCTCTAGAACAATTTGTTTTGGTGTCAGTTTTAGGCTTAGGGGTTCCTCTGCTGTATCAGTCGTTGTGTTCCATTGGAGAGAAGTGAAAGTCGTGCTGCATTCCATCTTTTCTTGATATTGAGAATGAATGAAAGTCTATTCTGCTGCTGTACTGACTAAGGATTGTCTCTTTTTCCCACATGAAATGACTTCCATACTCAGACTGTAGCTCCAACAGTGACCTTGTTGGGTTTCACTCACTCTTGTTGTTTGTCTATTGTGCATTTTGGCTTTTCATAATGTCA